AACCCTAAAGGCGTAGCTTCCTCTTAGCTGGAACTGGGTACTATTCCTCCCGATTCACGTTTGTTGATATTGTATCTTTGATGTCAGGGTTCAGTTGAAGGCTTGTGGAGATGGGCTGGGGGATATCCCGGTTGATTGGACTGAAGGCTGCTGTCTTGCTCACCGCAGCGTATTTCGTTCATGGACTGGGCATGAAACTGCTCTCATTGCCCCTCATATACACCTGCCTGATTGCCGTGCTTATCTCCATTGCTTCCCATCCGTCGGTCGACCTCCCGTTGCTCCTCGGCAAGGCATCCAATGGAAGCTTTCCCCTGTGGTCATGGGTCATGTTCTCGCCCTTTCTCTTTTTCATCCATCTGTTTGTGCTGTTGCGGAGATTTGTGAAAAATGAGCCCTTGTACACCGAGATAGCAGACGGAGTGTATGTTGGAGGCTGGCCTTCTTCAGTTGAACGCCTGCCACCTGGTGAACCCGCAGTCATTGATTGCACCTGCGAGCTGCCAAGAAGCTCAACTATATCTGAGAATTCATATTTGTGTGTCGCTACATGGGATACAAGGGCGCCTCAGCCACCACAGATTGAGTCAGCTGTGCGGTGGGCCGTGAGAAAGCGGTCACAGAACAAACCTGTGTATGTCCACTGTGCCTATGGTAAGTTTTTATCTGTTAGTTTGTTATTCTAGATTTATGAAAAGCCTTATGTTTTATTATGTTTTGATAATAATAGTGGTCGTCTACTTGTCTTCATGCATCTGAATTCACTTATGCAGCTTACTACTCACATTAGATTTTGTTGATAGAGTAGACACATCTACTACCTTGAGGTGGATAAACTGTTGAGCTGTATTGTGGGTGTGCTGATGTGCATTTCTGTCCTGTGGTTGTCCTTAGCATTTCTGATTTACCTTTCAATATCTATCAAAGTTAAACTGCCTCTCATACACTATAGGATAAATTTAATGACATATAACAATCTTCACTAATTGCCATCATATATGGGTCAAGATATACCCATATGCGCGACTACAAGGTATCCCATGGTTATTCTAGCATTTCTAATTTATCTTTCCATATCTATCAAAATTAAACTGCCTCTCATACATTGAAGACTAAATTTAATATATGACAATCTTCAGTAAATTGCCATCATATAGAGGTCAAGATATACCCATATGCGTGATTACAAGGTTTGCACATACATAACGAATATTACAAATGTAATTGTAATGTCATCCATTGTCTCAAGGGCTCGTTTGGCCTGGTTTAGACTTAGGACTAAAAATGAAGCTTAAGCAGGAGCTGTGCGGCCAATTAATTTGTTTGTTTAGCTCATATTCATTATAAGTTTACAGTGGTTTGTTCAATTGGGTTATGAATACAAAGTTGTGTGTATTGAGCTCTTAGTTCCAATAGCATGCCCATTTGAATAACCCTAGGTTAGTACAATAGTTATAGACGGTTTTGCAGCCATGCAATACTCAGGTTTAAGTTACCTTATGTCTCGATAGTTATATTGTTTAAAAAGCACCGATACGGGGACACGGACATGGGGATACGCATACGGGGACACATTTTCCAAAAACAGCCATATGGGGATACATCGTGTATAGATTGAAAAAAAAAACATGCCATGTAATAAAAACAGAAAGATAATGAGATGAGATCAAAATACTACCCCATTTGTTGCCTCCATGCCTCCCTTTTCAAGTCCTTGAAAGATTAAACTGAATGATCCTCAATTTCCTCATACTGAGGTCCTTCCAACTTGCAAAATACACCATATGCTAGTATTACAACATAAGGCCGCGTAGGATATTTAGGATCTGGAATACCAGGCCTCTTCACTGTCACCCACTGCCGTGCCGCTGCCCCCAGATGCCATGCTCGGTAGCTAGCAAGAAGGGCACCAGCAGTAACAAGACAGCAAGCTGCGGCACCGGCGTGCCCGTACTTTGCTGCTGAGAGCAAAGCTGGCCGGAGATTTCACATGTCAGAGGCGCCGGCGCAGTCGCAGGAATGTGGACTCGAGGGGAGAATAGGAGATGGGCTGCTCGACTGATGCCTGTTAGGGTTAGTACATTGGCTGACTGGACCTTCTTGTGTCCCTGGCGTATCCCAGTTGTTTAAGCCGTGTCGGTGTATTTTTCTTTTTTTAATCCTGAAATTACGGGATACTCCATGACACACGTGTCCCTGTGTTGCACACCTATTATATGGGGATACAGCGACTTTTGACTTGTCGGTGCTTTCTAGGTAAACAGACAGAAATATTCGAGGTCAAATTATGCATTACAGTTTTGGCATTTTCCTATTATGGAAGGTAGAAATGATGTAGGACATGGTCATGTGGGATCAAGGGTTAACTGCTAAGCATCAAGTCATATGATGCTTGCCTTTGTCCTTTTCACAACTAGGAAGTACTATTTCTTTCTTCCCTTTATATTTTTCTCCATCCAGTCAAGCAAAAGAGCATCAGTGAAGTAGCTTGTAAATTAGCCATTAAGTTGATGCAAGGCAGGATCCAAACAGCCTAATCCATGTGATAAGCTACTCTAGTACTCTATCTATATGAGGCATGCCATTAACCATTACAGAGAGCAAAGTTTCCTTTCCTAGTGCATTAAGCTCTTAACAGCTCGTCATCTAAGTGCTTTGCTAAACTGTAACAGGCCATGGCAGAAGTGTCTGCGTGATGTGTGCACTTCTAGTTGCGCTGGGATTAGCTGACGATTGGAAAGCTGCTGAGCAAATGATCCGCGAGAAGCGACCTTCTATCAGCATGAACACTCTTCATCGCAAAAGCTTAGAGGAATGGTCAAAACACTTGCTTTCTCCCTCAAAAGGAAGTGGGGAATCCGATGTGAGTTCTGTGATTCTTTCGGACTACACCCGGAAAAAGCATTGAACTCGCAAGACACGGACTTGTTCAGTAACTGTGATAATTGAGAAGACTTCATGCTTTGGTGTTATCTACTGTAGTCCTAGTAAATGTCCAAGGCATTTCGTTGTCTAAGTTACTGTCCTCGATTATGTTGTATGGATACGTGGATATTCTATTACTGTGCCTTACAATGTTGCTCTTTTTATGCATACTGTTCATTGATCCTTGGGGTCATTGAATGCTTTCAAGACAAATCGTTTTGTGGGATTTTCTCTTAAAATAGAGGTCCCTGCTAGCCTGCTAGATTGCCATTTATAACGGAGTGTATGTCTCCCATCCGTACCTTTTGCATTTTTAAGGCAGTACCATGCATTCAATATCCCTGCTAGGTACTCCTCGTTTGGTTCAAGTAAATGCTCAGCTATTCATAGCTTTCTTGTGCTGCACCAGCCCGTCGTGTAACCATTTCATTATGTAAAAAGTTTCTTGTTTTGAAGTTTCCTGACTTACCTATGTTGATTGAAGTTATGCTGAAGTGTACTCATTTTGGTATTCTTTGATTGAGGTTATGCTGAAGTGTGCTCGTTCTGATATTTTTTGTATGCTCACTTGATTTTTCATCCTTTTTACCATCTGTCTGTCCTTATTAATGAGCGGCTTTCTAGTTAGAGGTTGAATTCTGAGCTGCATGCTTGGAATGATCTTCATCTGATAGCAGGTTTCACGCTTGAAACAGTTCTGGCTAGATGCCATGATGAAGCTGATGTTGAGTTCCTGAGTCCCTTGGTCTGGTATTGATGGAGCATCCACAGAGCTGTTTCTTTTACATCTGTTTATCATGTGTGAACTTCCATCTTCTGTTTATTGTTTTATTTATGTAAGGTTCCTTACGCTGTTTCGACATGTATTGCTTAACATTGCTCTTAAATGTTACTGCTTCTTTCATGGTTTCTTTCGCTCAACAATTCGCTGATTGTTTCTAAAGTGCTGCTGACTTGTTCTGTGGCACATTTTCATCAGCGGTTTCAGATATTTCTGGTTTCCATGTAATCTTCTCTCGTTTTCCATCTGTGATATCGGTATCCTGTAGCAGCTGTCCTTTATTTTTTTTTGAAACAAGGCAAAAGGCTTGCCATTTTCATTGAATAAGAAGAAGGTTTAATAGTCTTGGCCAAAAGACCAGGTTACAAGCATCACTCTCGCGGCATTATGTTACACAAATATTTCGCCCCCGCGAGGCACCACAGGGAAGTTTCCGCTTTGACGCGAGTCACAAGCACCCCTACCGGGATTGCCGTGCTGCGGAACACACGTGCATTTCGCTCCTTCCAAATTTCCCAAGAGATAAGAAGCATAAGGGAAAGAAGCGCCCTTCGAAATTCTGACCTCCCGGAAGCTATGTTGCGCCACCACTCCTTGACGGAAACCATGCCTCCCCAATCTGTAGGATGGACATCATGTAAACCGAGCCATGTTTTGATCATTCCCCAAACTCTAACCGTGTAACGACACTGGAAGAGAAGGTGAGCTGCTGATTCTTGCGTTTGTTTACATAGCGGGCAAAGGTTATAGTTGGGCCAGCCCCTGCGCTGAAGCCGGTCCGCCGTCCAAATCCTATTGTTGATGGCCAACCAAGCAAAAAATTTGCATTTGGGAGAAGCCCAATTCTTCCACACCAAAAGAGGCATATCTGAGTCGATAAGGCCAAGAAATTGTGCACGGTATGCCATTGCCGCCGAATATTGGCCATCATTGGTGAGCTTCCAGGAGATTGAATCAGCCACACCGGGGTTGAGTTGAATGCGTGATAGCTCACTCCAAAGGTTGACGAACTCTGCTATGTGGTTCACATCAAGGTTCCCGCCAATGTCCACTCCGGAGACCCATGAGTTATTATGTAAGGCCTTCTGGACAGTGCAGTTTTTTCTTGCAGAGATCGCAAAAATATTTGGCGCGATGTCTTTGGGTCTCATACCGTTCAGCCAAGCAGACTCCCAGAACAAGGCCCTCATCCCATCTCCAATCAGAACCTTGGTGGCAGCAGCAAATATGTCTTTATCTTTGTCATCACATGGGTTCCCCAAGTTTACCCAAGGCTTGCTTGGGTCCGTCCAAGCTCCCCACAACCACCGGAGGCGAAGGGCAGAAGCAAATTTTTCCAAGTTGAGAATACCTAGGCCACCATGCAGTTTAGATTTGCAGACTTGCTCCCAGTTGATTTTGCATTTTCCCCCAGAAACCTTGTCACAACCAGCCCAGAGGTATGCACGCCGCAGGGAGTCAATCTTTTTCAGTACCTCCACAGGGATGTTTAGCACCGTCAGGTAATATATAGCAATCGCCGTTACAACCGACTTGACAAGAACAACCCTTCCTGGCGATGCAACGTGTTTGCCCATCCAAGGCTTAAGTTGTGCCGCAATCTTATCCTCGAGAGGTTGGAAGTGGATTCTATTCAATCTTTTGATCGATAACGGCAGACCCAGATATTTCATAGGGAATGATGAGCGGTTGGCCGGGAAGAAGAGGAGGATATCATTCAGATCCAAGTTGTCACATCGGATTGGGGCAACAAGGCTTTTCGAGCAGTTGGTATGTAGGCCCGTAACCTCTCCAAAGTGGGCCAGCGTGTCCACAAAGAACTTAACTTCGGTTTTGATGGGAGCAAGAAAAACAGCCGCGTCATCCGCGTAGAGGGACGCCCTGATCGTCATGGCGTTACCAAGAGGGTGCAGCTTTCCTTGGGCAGTAGCCTTCTTGAGAATATGGTGCAGAGGATCGATCGCCAGAACAAAAAGAAGGGGGGATAGAGGATCTCCTTGCCTCAAGCCCTTCCCAAGCTTGATAGGGTTGCCCGGAATACCGTTGAGCAAGACTCACGAAGATGCCGAAGCTAAAAGAGTCGAGACCCAACCACGAAAGCGCGGAGGAACTCCAAGGTGTTTGAGAAGGTCGAGGAGATAGTCCCAGCGAACCGAGTCGAAGGCTTTCTTGATATCCAACTTGAAAAGCAACGCCGGTGTTTTGTTTCGGTGGAGACGCCTCGCAAGATTGCGCACATACGTGAAGTTATCATGTATACATCGTCGTTTGATGAAAGCACTTTGCGCCTGTGAAACAAGGTCGTTCATGTGTGGGGCGAGCCGGTTGGACATCACTTTGGCAATGATTTTCGCGATGGCATGGATAAGACTGATGGGTCGGAAGTCCGATATATCTTCAGCCCCATCTTTCTTAGGAATGAGGGCGATATCCGCCGAATTGAGCCAATGGAAATGGGTGGCATGCAAGTCAGAGAAGCGACAAATGGCCGACATGAGATCTTCCTTGATAATGTTCCAGCATGATTTAAAGAAAGCACCGGTGAAGCCATCCGGGCCCGGAGCTTTGTCAGAAGGTAAGGCAAAAACCGCAGCTTTGACCTCCTCCTCGGTGATGGCTGCATCCAACTCCTGAAGGTCGCAAATTGGAGTTGGAATGATCCCCCAATTAATGTCAATGTTGCGTGTGGGGCCTTTTTTAGCAATGTTCTTGAAATGGCTATGTATCACTTGCTCCTTCTGGTTGTGTTCTGTGATCCAACCAGAATTGTTCTTGAGACGATGAATGAAGTTTTTTCTCCTCCGATGATTCACCCGGAGATGGAAGTAACGGGTGTTAGCATCACCCTCCTTCAGATTGGTGATTCTGGAGTTTTGCCTCTTCCTAGATTTCTCAAGCCCAGCCCACGCGATGATCTTTCTCTTTAGTCTTTTCCGAAGATCATATTCCTGTTGGGAAAGCACTCTTTGATCCATAGCCAGGTCAAGATGTAGAATAACTTCCAGCGCCATATGTAATTGGACCTTGGCTTTGGCGAAAAGGGACTTGCTCCAGGAGCGTAGTCTTTTGCTAGTAGTTTTGAGCTTATGAAACAGCCTCTGGTATGGCTCGGTGTGCATTGATTCTTCATCCCAAGCATCCTTGACCGTCTTTTGGAAACCCGGCATCTTGGTCCAATGGTTCTCGAACCGGAAGGACTTCGGTCGCTTGGGCCCATCCTCATTAGCAAGTAAAAGTGGGCAGTGGTCTGAAAGTGAGGAGGAAAGGGCATGAAGAATGTGATTGGCGAATTCGATATCCCAGTCCTCATTGCAAAAAAAGTTGTCTAGTTTACATAGCGTTGGGTTGTTTCTTTCATTGCTCCATGTGAATCTTCGATTCTGTAGATGGATCTCCTTGAGCTCGCAAGAGTTTAAGGTGTTGCGAAACCTAACTAGGCGGCTGCGATTCACATTTGTGCGGTTTTTATCTCGAGTCCGGTATATTTGGTTGAAGTCGCCGTTAACCAGCCACTTTGTTCCTGGTAATGGCTTCTGAGATGATAGCTCAAGGAAAAAAGCATCTTTGTGAATGCTTCTAGTTGGCCCGTAGACGGTGGTAAGCTTGAAAGATTTGTTATCCGAAGCACTCTTGATTGCAACAAACGCCGAGAGGAAATATGATCCGAGCTGGACGCTGGATATTTCGATCACAGCTTCATCCCACAACAGCAAGATGCCACCCTTAGTACCCTCAGCGGGCTTGTAGGCGAAATTCTTCAGACGTTGGCCACCCAGATAAGCAGCAGTAAAAGGATCAATCACTTGAAGCTTAGTTTCCTGTAGGCAGACCAGATGACAGGAAGATGAAGCAATTGTTTCGTGGACGGTGGCTGTACGTTCAGGGCAGTTTAAACCACGGACGTTCCAGCACAGAATAGAGATGTTTTGATCTAACATTGGTTCACCAAAGATACATCAGGATTACAAATGGGGAGCAAACATAACAGCATCCACATAATCATAGGTCTCGCCAGGACCAGGGGCAGCGTCATGTCACAGCAGCTACAAACAGGCGTACATCTAAAAGGGATTTGGTGTACTATCATCAGGAACTGAACTACAACAGTGAGAAAGCTGCAGGATCAGGCACCCGTGGAGGCAGTCTCGTCCAGCTCTGGACCTCCTTCTCCACCATGCTGCACCAGCGCCTCCTCCACTGCTGAGGAGAGGTCGCAGTCCAGCTGGAAGAGCGCGCGGAGGGCCGCAACGGCAATATCTGGCAGTTGGCCTTGGAACATCTGTGCGAATTTTGCAATCGCCGCTTCTGTGACCTGCTCGCCCTCAGCCACAATGTTCATGTGGCGACAAAGAAGTTGTTCAGCAAGCTTTGCTATGGGTATCTTCCTTTTCTTTGCTCGGAGACGAGGGCTCTGTCGTGGCAACTGGAAGCCGGTCACCCCGGCCAGCGTCTTCCGTCGAGCTGCTGGAGGTCTGGGCGGCGTCGAACGTGGCGACGGGAGCAGCGCCGGCATGTACGGGATGAAGATAGGAGTTGCAGACTCTGGAGAGGCATTGGTAGCAACTGCAGCAGTCAAGGCTTCATCGGTGTGATCTCCATTCCCCTCATCCTGAGTAGGGGTTGCAGTGGCGAGGACAAGCTCCGGAGTGAGGATGGCAGGTTCTTCTGGCTCTGATCCCAGGCGTGGTGGGGTGGGGGTAGCCAAAACGAACTCTGGCGTGGAGATCCCTGCATATGGAGCCATCTCTGGCAGCGTCGCCTGAAGCTGAGTTGTGTCCAGCACCACTTGGGCATGTGTGGACTCCTTGCTGGGGGCGTGGTGCTCTTCCATTGTAAGAGATGGCTGGACCTTGGTGACCATGCGAGCCGCACCACAGAGCCAGCCCAAGGCTGAACCAGTCGGAGCAAGCTCGATGATGTCGCTCGAAGTGGTGCGAGGAGAAGGTGGCAGCGAGCGGCCACGAGCCGCCCCGGAGCGGCGTCGTCCATCGCGGCCACGGTCACCGCCACGCTCCTCGCGACGTGAACCGTGGCGATCATCTTCAATCCGGCGTTCCGGGGCGCGGGAGCGGCTCCGGAAGATACGGTCGCGCCAGGAGGAGCGTGGCCGGTCGTTGTCGCGGCCTCGCCGGTCGTCGTCCCTGTCGTGGTCGTCGTCGCGGCGGTGCCGGTCATCGTCATCCCGATGTCGAGGCGGAGGTTCACGCCTGTCTCGAACCCTTGACTCGCCGTCCACCACACCATATCTCCAGGTGAAGGGATCAGTGTGCGGGCGACGTGGAATGTTGCCAGCCGCGTCTGGTGTGTAGTCCTCCAGCTTGTCCAGATGAACGATAGCTCGACGCCGGATGCCCCGATGCCCAACAGCCGTGGACGGGGCACCACCAACACCCGTGGTCACGCGGGGGGCAATGGTAACTTGCAACACCTTGGGGATGGCCGAGGGGTTCGCCGACCACGCCCAAAGCATGAAGCTTGATGTATCTTCGCGACGGAGAGTGGCGATGTCGAAATAATGAACAAATGTGTCCGGACCGAGGACCTGCGCTGCCACGGAGTCGCACCAAGCGTTGAGGGGGATTCCTTCGATACAGAGGTGGACGTGGTAATCTGCACGCACCACATCAGAGTGCGCATCGAAGCGCCAGTTGGCAGAATGGATGTCGAGGCCGTTGTGCCGGAATCTGCCAGCCGCTGTGACCTTGTCACGTTGGTGCTGATAGTCGAAGAGAGCGAAGAAATCTTCTGGGTAGTGTGGCACCACCTTGACATCTCGCACGCCAAACTCCACGTCGAGGGCCTCCTTGATCTCAGCAGCGCTCACCACCGGCCTGCTCCCACCAAGCCACAGGAAGGCACCCAGGGAAGCAAGGCTGGCGGTGTTGGCCTCCATCTCCGGCGTGGAGACGATGACCACGGTCCCCTCCTCAGGGCGCAGCGAAGGGTCACCAACGCGGGATGCCTGACGCGGCATGCCGCACAGCACAGCCAATGTCGAGGGCGGGGCCTGGGAAGCTGCAGCAGGGGTCGATGCAGAGGGCGCAGGTGGGGAGGAAGGAGTAGCAGCAGCAGCTTGATACAGCGACGGGGGTGGCCGAGGGGAGGGGAATGGAGAGTTGGTGCAGCCCCTCGCCCTGTGTCCAACCTGACGGCAGCGTCGACAGGTAAATGGATTCCTGCAGCTCGCCTTGCAATGGCCTCTGAGCAAACAGCGGTGGCACTCTCTATCTTGGATCCTGACGAACTCGCTCTGTCTCTTTGGTGGGGAGTAAGAAGTTGTAGCCCGACGCCTTGAATGAGGGTGGATAGGTCGCCCTTTACGCCACCAGTGAGCCGGCCGCACCAAATGCCATTGATGGTCCTGAGCATCCGCGGCGGGGGCAGGGTGTCTTGATTCCCGAGCAGCCGGCGCTGGGCTCGAGGGAGAGCTCGTCGAGTCCCATCGAGTCTTTGCCTTGAATGAGGTCGCAGACCCGGACTTGAGGCATGGGCGGTGAGCTCCTTGAAAGGGAGGAGGTGGCGTGCCTTGCAGAAGATTCGCATTGAAGGCGAAGCAGACTCTGCGCTGCACACCGGCGGCGGCCGCAGCGGCCGTTGGCGAGGAGTGAGTGGCTTGGGGATCCAGATCTGGAGAGCTCGATGCCAGCTGCGGAAAAAGCTCAGCCACCAGATCCAGTCTTCTGAACTGCGGCGAAGGGAACCCCGGAGGGAACCGCGGCGACAGCGAGGAGGCGCCCGGGGGCGAGATGTGGGCAGCGGCGGCCTGAATGGTGGCCGCGGGCGCCGGAGCAGCGCGCCGCAGGAGCGTGGGCGTAGCACCAGCTGCCATCTCCTACTTTGTGGACGTGTCCAGCAAGTGAATAATCAGCTGTCCTTTATTGTTTGTTGATATGTTGTTCTCGTCGTTTTCTATTGATTTGACAGTCGATCTTAAATTATTGCTCATCTCTGTTTTGTGATGTTATCTCTAAAGGTCTCCTTCTGCAAAATAAACTTGGAATAACCTAGTATAGATAATAAGGGATTGTTTAGCAAGAATATTCGAATTTGTGTTATTTTTCTGTCTGCCTTTGTAAAGTGGAATTTGGCTGCTCGGGTCCATGAGCAGCCACGCATCTCCCTTCTTTGCTTTGCTTTGCCCCGCTGCGAGCCAAAATTTGATGTACTAATAACTCTTCAGTCAGTTCAGGAGCCATGAGAACAACAGGTGAGAGCCACTCAGCATTGCACCCCAACAATTGCCCCCTCTCCCTTTTCCCTAGTGATGTTGCTTTCTCAAATACTTTAATCAATGATAGAACATTACAGTCCCTCGTTGTCTTCTCCTCTCTTTCTAACATCACTGACCCCTACGTTACACCCTCCAGGAGAAGCCTCAAAATCCGGAGAACTGATTCTGTTGCGGTTGGTGGTGCTGCTGCATGCCTTGCAGCTCGGTTCCTGTTGGGCTGAGGCTCTCGGTTCCAATGAAGTTCCTGGTACAGGAGAAAATAAGAGGTGCAAGTCATTGTCGGTCATGTTCATTTCACCTATGTATGTTTCTGAAAACACAAATATTATGTGCAAAAATATCTTTTTATGCACATGTGTTGAATCCTTATAATGAACAACTAATAAGTGACTTGCCGAATGGATTTTACATATGTTTTTCTTCTTCTGAAACTGGGGAAAAACGACTACAGGGTGCAGTTTTTGCAGCTGAGCGAATGAATCTTACTCGCGAGGACGGGAAGCCCAGAGACTGCTGAGAGCTCGGAGCCGGCGGTAGTACTCCCCGATGGAGAGGAAGCATCGAGCCGCCTGTCGGGTTGTTAGAATCCGTCGCATCTGATGCAGCGTTTGCTGCCTCAGATTGTCAGCCTGCAACATTTGCAAGTAAGTCACCCAAAAGACAATGAGATGTCATGTTATACAGTTTTGTAACTTGGCTCGGCTAGGAATTTGACACGACATAGAATGCCGGCATTATATATACTTAGTGATGGGGCATTATCAAGATTGTGCGAGTACATATTCTAATGCTAGGTTGTTTTCACTGCTATATTCTGCTCTCGACGATGGTTCAGATCTTGCAAGGGCTTATCCTAATGTGACATTCTTTTCTGATCGCGTCGTGTGGGACTTAACATGGCATATATATAACAGATAAAATTTGAAGAAAATGAAAACCAAAGGAAAAGGAGAACCTATGATTAGTATCAACAAAATAGCCAGCCTTTCCTGAGCGACCGAAAATAAGAAGTGTCTGATGTGGTCATGTTTATTTGAGTCATTCTTTCTTATAGTAGTACTTCTAACAAATCACTATTATTATACATACTACTTTCTCTGATGCAACTATATCTAAATCCATTCACCATCTTTTTCATAGGAGACTTTATGCAGAATGATTGCCCCAATCATGACCCTAGTAGAATTATTAATTGCCTGCATATATACCTTGATACCTTTTCAAATATCTACATCCACAAACCACAATCAACATATCTCAAAAGGAATCAGGGCTCAGAAAAGGCAGAAAATAAACAAAGACAAAATGGAGGTCTCAATCTTCTTTTATCCCTGGAGGCCTTGAGAGAGAGAAGATAATCCATAAAAAGTCTAGACGATTGTTTTTCCTACACTTGTGATGGAGCAGCAACGCGGTATCCACCTTTCTTCAAGGCTCCTGTCCACGGAGCTGAAATTTTAGGTGTGGCTGTGTCCTTTTCTGATGGTTTTTCGTAGAGGAGACTGTTCATGGGTAGGAACCCTTGCAACTTTTGCAAGGCATGGAACATCATAAATGAGGCCTCCAAGGATACGATTTTTCTCGCTATGATTGTGGGCCTCAGCTGTGGTAGTACCAGCAAGCAAGCAGAGGAGGGAATAAAACAAGAGAGGGGATGTGTGGCTGGCACAACACAACAGCACAGGAGAGGGTAGAGAGGCACAAGGAACATAGCTTATGCACAGTTGCAACCGTATGTATTCGTCCATTGACTTTATATCTAGAATGAGACATGTGTCTGTCTATGTACATGTATATATTGTACTAGTACCAGATATGCAGGTACACGTACACATGTGTGATCAGGAATAAACCTTTCCCGCCCTAGGGTAGGGCCCCCACCAACTTGTCTAGAAAACGTACTGCAATAATTGGTTGTACCACTACCAGAAGCATTAGCTTGGTAGTAGTATGGTTTTATTTATAATAACAGGCTGATTATGCATGCTAGAAAGCGCTAATGATGCTTATCCACAAGTTTAATCCGCTGGTTTCTGACAAAAAGTTGGCCTGTCATTCATCATGGAGAAAGTAGGCCATGGCTCCGTAGCCAGCAGCTAGCGTTTCTGACAGGAAAGGACCACCTGTGCTATATACTGTAGCATGAATTTTACTTCCGTAGATTTTTGTATCGTTCGATTCAAGAGAGGTTGTTACTGGTGTAGATTATGATCTAACCGCAGCAAGTTTGATGATGCAGTCCATGTCCAAGAAGAGGAGGAATTGATGTGGTGCTGAGTGCTGACCTGCTGGTAGAAGCTCTCGAGGCTGGCGAGCTTCTCGAGCGCGATGGCCATGATGGCCATGTAGTTGGGGCCGGGGGTGCCGTCGTTGAGCGTGCCGGCGGCGACGGTGTCGGCGAGCGACTGGTGCAGCTGCTGCAGCCCCTGCGCGAGCGCCTCCTCCGCCTGCTCCGACGAGTGCTGCAGGCCGCAGATCCCCATCATCTGCTGCTCCGTCAGCGGATCCAGCTGCCCGATCAGGATCTGCATTCCCATGCATGATGGCAAGCCGGCTTCTAGCCTCAGTCGGTACGGGACGCAACAGCCGTACGTGCGCGCGCGCATGCACGGACCACTCTTCATGGATGCCGTTCGTGCATGCGTGCATGCAGTGCAATGCATGGGAAGAAGATGATAAAATATGCTTGACCTTGAGGAGCTCGGAGGGGCGGAAGCCGCCCATCCAGAAGAAGCAGCGCTCGGCGGGGGTGGCCCAGGCGCCGGTGAGGAGGTGGAAGACGTCGGCGCGCGCCAGCTCCGCCTTGAGCTGGAACAGCTCGTCGTAGTGCTGCATGCACTCCTCCACCACGGCGCCCAGGTTGCTGTCGGCCAGGTGCGCCTGCAGGCCGCCCCGGAGCTCCGCCAGCCGCTTGCCGTCGTCGTCCAGCCACCGCGCGTACTCCATGTCGAACATGGCGGCCCCTGCGAGCGCGCGGACCACGGTTTTACATGAAGTTATTATCATTACGACGAAGGGTGAAAGGTAAAAGTAAAAAAGGCAAACAAACGTCTCAGACTTTTGCAGTGATCAGAGTAAAAAAGTTCAGACGAACGGCGCTGATTACCAGGACTCATGTCACCGCCTGCGCCGCCCCCTCCGAGAAATATCCCCTGGAACAAGCAAGCAATCTTGTGAGAGGAAAATACTTTTCAAAGGCATCATCAAATGTACTGCACAGAGAGAAGACGAGCTGTGATAACAACCTGTGACCGTGCTCTCTGGAGCTCTTGCTCCATCTGCTGAAGCCTGACCCTGCTGGTCTCCAGATTCTGCACATAAGCCTGTGAAAAAGAGGGCGCTCAAATTTAGGCAATCGTAAGCAACAGTGCTTGGCACGATCATCAAAGGTATGTCTATGGATCTTGTGAGCACCTTCTTCCTCAGCCTGCTCTTCTTTGCGGCCTCCCTGTTCTGTGCTAATCGCCTTTCGGTCTGCCAAACCAAAACCAAAACGGTCAGTTTAACCATGCAAGATGATGCCACAGTTCCAAGAGACATGAATCAAGCAATGAGTGGATGAAGAAGCAAACAAACAGTAGCCATCCCACCTTGGAATCTACCAACTTGCCGTCTTTCCTCGTGGATCCATGTTTCCTCTGTGCAAAGGACACCAAGGGAAAAAAAGAGGTACGGAGTTAGAGCAAGGTGTGTATAGTAGCATCGTTCCTTCCTCTCCTATACACAGCACAGTGCCGCCACATCTCAACATCAACATCAACATCAACACCAACACCAAAGAAAGCAGCAGCTACAGGGAACAGGATAGTGCATTGGAGCCAAAGTTGCTGTCCGTTGTTCGATCCACAGCAACCCAAGTAGCCTTTTTGGCTGTAGCTGTCCGTCCCTGATGACACCGATGGCTCGGACAGCGAGCTAGCCACGCTATGCCATGCTGCTGGCCATCACAGCTCGGTGAGCGACCATCGCTGCCGCTTTGCCAAGGCGCAGGACGGCAGGAGGGAGATAAGATGGGGGTTTATCAACTTATCATGGTATGATCCTGCTTTTATGTCTGTCTACCCACCCTGGGAGAGACAGAAAGACAGTCCAAGGTGTTGTTGGTGTCCTCTTAACCGGTGCAGCATCGACCAGATGCCATTAGTCCAATCAGTCCTCATCTACTATCATAGACACACATCCGGCTGTTCCCTCCCAAACAAGCATGGCCTTTTCTCCTCTTATCATAGAAGCTCTAGCCTATGCAAAGGGCACATGTCTTGTGCTTACTGCTGGAAGGAGTACCACTAGTGGTACCTTAACACGCTATCATAGAGAGACATGATCTAGCCTGGTAGCTAGACAGGCTTTGCGCATGTCCGTGACTGACTACACAAACACAAACGGGCGTACTACTCGGCCGTGGGACGGTGACGGGACAGGGCGATGCTGCATGCTCGCACGACGAATTCCCAACAGTTTGGCATCCTCTGTCGACGACAGGCCGAGAGTTGTTTTCTCTCTCTGGAGGAGATTTGATTTGACGGTATTATTCTGGGGGGCGAGAAGGACGAGCTGGCGAGTGGCGAGGCCATGTGTCCTGCGCTAACTCCTTGGGATGAGATCGATGGGCCGGTGGTACTGGTGGTCTGGTACTGGTACGACTCGCTAGCTAGCTGGTCTGGCACGTATGATTGATAGGAAAAGGTCAGGAGAGGGGGGAGGAGGGGGCGTTGTACCTTGTCATGGTCTCCTCCTCCGTGCAGCTGCAGCTGCTGGCCCTGGTGCGGCTGCTGAAAGCTTGGCGCGGCAGCGGCGAGGCCAGCGGCGGCAGGCGGGGGGAGGCCTGGCTTGTAGCTGTAATCATCAGTGGTCACCATCATGACCTCCTGCCGTTGCCGCTGCTCGGAGGTGGTGGAGGAGGGGGAGGGCCGGACGCTGCCGGCCGGGCCCGGGGACACCAGCTCCATCTGCGCCATTGTGTTCCGGGCTGAGCTCGAGTCAGTGGTGCTCCCGACTGACTGCGAATTCCCCTGTTCAGCAATTAACGCAGGCAAACAGTGAGTGGTCACGCACGCATGCATGCATGCATGCATGCAATGCAGGGTTAATGTGCCTCTGAGACGAGACGGGCGGGGGAACACGTTTTCGCCCCCCTCGCTCGCCGTCGCAGGCTCTCTTTACTCGTGGCCGGCCGGTGGCGGTACGGCCACGGGGGCTACGCCAAGGAACATCGCCATCTTTTTCCTCGGGTTCAGCGACGGCGACGACTGAGCCAGCCAGTGAATTAATGCATGGGGTGAATGATCATGGGAAGCGGGTCCTTACAGCACTGTGCAGCTGCTGTGGGTGCGGCATTGGCCACGAAGGGAAGATCTCCAGCGTGGGGGGCCTGCCCGCGCCCGCCAGGTACCCTCCTCCTCCCCTTCCTCCTCCTGCCGCCGCGGCTGCATGCATAGATAGATACAAAGAGGATTCAATTATATCGATTCCATGTTGGTGTTCCTGTTCCCCTAGCAAACAGCTGTTCGTGCATCCTCACGGCCCCTCTCTCTCTCCCTTAACAGAGAAAGAGAAAAGGCTGTAGCTGTAGCTAAACATGGCGGAGGGAGGAAGAAGCTGCTGCTACACTGTTGGCTGCTGGTGTAGGCGACGGACGGAGGAGGGGAGGTCAACCGAACCCAAGGACGACGACATGCCTTCCTTCCTTGTCTCACCATTTATGCCGCGCGGAGGCGGAGCTGCTGCATGTGGCGACTGTTTGCGGGAATGCAAAAGGCGAGGCATGTCTCCCTCCTCTACCCCTCGCCATGTGTGCCTGCCGACTGCCGAGCAACAGCAACAAACGATCCTTCTTGGCAGGTGGCCAAGGTTCGGACCGGAGAGGTGCATGGAAGAAGAAGGGTACGTACGTAGCTTACACTTGGCCTGCGCGTCGCCTGCGATCATGCCGCCAGGGTGTGGGTGGTGGAGGTGGTCGGGGACGCCGACGCCGACGCCGGCGTTGGCGCCATGGATGAGGGCCTCCTCCAGCTCCCCGAAGTAGGCGGCGGGCTGGAAGTCCCTGCCCAAGCAGTGGCGCACAGAGCTCGTCATCTCATCAATTACCAGTGATACTGATACGCCAACTTATTACGCTGTAGCAGCTATAGGAAATCAAACAGGATAAAAGCTTTTCGAGAATGGAAAGGCAGGCGGAGGCTACTAATAAAGATCGACCGAGCTGGACAGATAAGGGTGAGGCCGGGGAGGCAGAAAAGATGGTGCCCGGATCACTCTCGCAGTACGTTCGGGCCTTAGGCATTAAGAAATGGAACTGGTGCGCGCGCTCGCGGAGGTGGAGGTGTAACCCAATGGAGGGAGCATAAGCATATCTGTGTGTGCGTGGAATAAGTTTGTTAAAAAGATGGATGGATGGATAAAAGCATGCACACGATCGAGATTAAGAAATTAATTAATTAATTAAACAAGTAGCCTTCCCACTGAGGGATTTGCAAACTATTGGTTGTTGCAAGAAAAAGTTGGTCTGATCTTGCTAGCTAGCTAGCTCCTCTTGCATAGCTGCATGAGCTGAGCCAGGGAGGATTTTAGGCCGGCAGAAACCTCAAAAAAGAAGCAAATTTTTGCAAGGAGAATGAGCAGAGAGGGCAGCGTGGGAGTACAGGAAGCTGGCAGGCGGCGCGGCGGCGGCGTGGTGATGGGGTTGGAGCTGGAGTCCGCCATGGTAGGCGAGCGCCGCTTGGTGGTTGAGGTGCAGCACTGCCCTCTCGTGGTGGTCGTGGGCGGCGCTCGCCATCCTCCACGAGCAGCTCGCCTCCTCACCTTGCACCATGATCACCACCTCTGCTGCTGCTGCTGCTGCCAACGAGAGCCCAGACCCGAGGCCAGAGTGAAGTTAGTGGTGGTAGAGAGTAGAGAGAGAGGGAGGAG